GAGGCATCGCACAGCCAACTCGACACAGTTTCGTTGGCAGAGCATTGAGAGAAGTTCTCGGGTTTAGGGCTTTGCATCGCGGAGAGGCATCCTGTACACAGAGTTCCTCGATGTTCTACATAGGAACCGGAACATGTTTGCTGGGAAGACTTCGGGCAGCTGGAGGACGTGTCTTCCTATCACAACTCGTGCGCGAGAACGACCTGTGCCCGGCAATCTGTGAGTTCATGTGCACCTAGGCTTTCTCATCTTACAGTAGGTATGTTGTAGTATAATAGTAATATAGTATAATCTAGTACAGTATAGCATTCCATGTTGTGTGTGGCTGTCGCAGCTCCGCAGCAAGGCAGCGTTATCACAGGCAGCGGTGAGGGCAATGAGCCCGGTTTTTCGAGAGAGTCCTTTTTGCAGAAGCTTCTTGAGCTGAGCCCCTGGCGGGTGAAGCGGCAGGTTTTGAGCCAGGGCACCTTCAGTCCAGTTTAGGGAATGTCTAGGAATTCCTCGGCTGCCGACATACGATCACGACACCAGGGAGAGAAGCATGGAGAACACTAAGTCCCTAAGTGTTGTGGAAGGTTAAACCCTAAACCCTCGACCCAAAACCCTAAACCCCTTAACCCTAAACCTCACACCCTAAACCCAATACCCTAAACCCTAAACCCTAAACCCCAAACCCCTAAACCCCTAAACCCCTAAACCCTAAACTGGTCAGACTTCACTGTCCTGTGGAGTCTACACCACTGCATCTGCCACGGGGCTGCCAGGTCGCTGCCCGTAGTTCTGTTTAGGGTTTAGGGTTTAGGGTTTAGGGGTTTAGGGGTTAGGGTTTAGGGTTTGGGGTTTAGGGGTCTACTTTCTTATACTAAATACCAGAAAATGCGATAATCTACCATAACATACTATGTTTTGCCGTAATATGCCAGAATGTGCGACAATGTTACATATGTTTTTATGTGTATATGTATTTATGTATATGCATATATGTACACGTATATGTAAATAAATAAATAACTAAATAAATAAATAAATAAATATAAATATATATATATATATGTGTACATNNATATATGTGCCATGGACCTTTATGTACAGTTTGATTCAGCCGGATTGGCACCTAAGCCTACCGCCCCAAGCAGGTGTAGCAGTGTGCCACCGATGCCGACAGCTAGTGCCACTCAGATTTTTGCCGGCCCAAGCAACCACAGAAACCAACGCCTTTTGAAGGTGTTGCTTGTGTGAAGTGTTGAACCACTGTATTCTACCATAATATGCGATAGTCTGCCATAATATACTATCTATACCATCATATACTGCAATGTAGCATACCATAGTATACCACAAATATCCCGTTGGGGGGCGCTGGATCAACCGCTGTTGCGCTGTAGGCGCGGCAGTGTTGTCCTGGCCCTCTACCCGAAGCTGTAGCTGCCACTGGGCCAGGTGTGAAACGATAGCTCAGTTCTGACAATGCCTTGTCGAATTTAATTTCCTTGCGGATATTTTCAGGCACCGGAAATCCAGCCTNNAGGTAAAGTATAGTCAAATCCAGCACCGATCATTTCTAGTCCGTATTCCGAGTTTTATGGCTTTTTGTACACCCAGTTCTGAGAAGAGCCTGATCTAAGCGTTGATGTACGTGTGTGTCGCAGGGGAACAGAATTCAGGTTGGCTGGACAACGGTTGCTGACGTGCACCCAGGTCGAAACTGAAAAAGACCTTCGGTTGAAGGCAGAGCATCGCCACTGCTTCGAGCAATCGAGCACCGAGCCAGGCATATGCATGCGTTCAGCCCTATCCCCCCTCACAGTGGTTTTCAGGTTTGACTGTAGATTCAATGCTCGCGTGAAAGTTTACATTGGGATGGTTGAATGGGTTCAGGCAATCGGGGGGGGGGGGGGGTCTACATTAAGGAAAAGGTCGGAACACGCTTTTGGGAGGGAGCACATCCGGAAGCAGTGCGAAAGCTGTCCATCCGATACTTCTTTGTGTTTCAATTGAGATGTGGGTGTATGGACCCACTAGATGCAAATATCTCAAAGAAGTTTGCATCCTGGGGCTAGCCTTTTGATCCGTGAGACGATGGCCCCGGTCGACACCGGATTTTCGGTAATACGTCATCAGAGTTCTGTGTCTTTTTTTTTGCTTCGGCGAGAGCCAGAAGCAGGCTATTTAAGCAGCCAAACATGGTCACAGTCTTCCAGCCGCGGTTGCAACCATGCTGGATGCCAGCAACGCGTGCTGCAACTCTGGAAAAGGTGAGTGCAAGCTTCATGCATGTTCGCACGTTCTGTGATGAGGAAGATGCCAAAGCGATCGGTGCAGACCAGAGCTGCAGAAAGCACAACAAATCGGATAACCAACATGTCGGTAAGATGGCTTGATTCCGACAAACCCTGAAAGGCCCTAAACTCTGACATGCAAGCCAGATCTTGGAGCGGTAGTCCTGAATTCATAAGATTTGGGCACATGAAAGGCCTGAGGCGAGTCCTCTTGAGCAGCTGCAAGGCTTGGGGCTCAGGGCCAGGGTTTAGGGATCATTGCTGGTTCAACTACCCTAACCCTAAACCGTAAACCCTAAACCCTAAACCGTTGAATTTGCACACCCACGGATTCGTGCCTTGATCTACTTGCTCAGGAAAGGCTAGCCGCGCCTGCCTCCTCCCTGCCATGGCAACTTCGCCGCGTCAACCGTCCAAGCGCCAAGATTCCTTCCAGGAGCTCTTGCGACGGCTGGCAGCAGCCCATGAGGCAGAGCTACAAAGAGCGCGACGGGGTGAGATCCCCTCCCGAGGCGCATCTCTCAGAGGAAGTACTCCACGACCGTCGCACCTCTCCGGGTCATTATTTCAGTCCCAGGCATCCTCCAACCCGCCAACGAGTCGAAGTGTGCCCGGCATGTCCCCGGGGACTCCGCTCTTACAGCCCAGGGAGACCCCGGGCATCCAGGAGAGTAGCGATTCCTTGGAGGAGGTGGGTGCGATGGGTCAGAGCTATGAGGTGCTGGAGGTCCGTACCTGCTGGGCGGAGACTGGGCTCTTCTTAGGGAGCTTCTCTTCTGTTACCATAGTAGGGATCAGAAGAAAAAAAAAGAGTTTCGGTATTCTGGTAGCTGAAACTGGGTTCCTCAATAAGAGCCCAGGAGAAGCCGCCAAGTGTGCGACTGAAGAGTATCGTAAGCGTGCATTCGACGGAGGCCACTGCATGGAAGAAGGGCGGTGGTCGACCCTCGTGGGACTGTGTTCTCAGTCCCTCCGGGAACTTTCGAAATGTGTGGGACCTGCTCGGCGTTCTCTGCTTGATGTGGGATGTTATCATGATTCCCCTACAGATGTTTGACTTGGATTTGGAGCTTCAAGTTGCTTTGGATTGGTTATCGCGCCTGGAAATGATGTTCTGGGCCATGGACATGTTGCTCGCGTTTTTTACCGGCTTCGTCGATCGCGGAATCCTGATCTTGGACCTGCGAAGAATTCGACATCATTACCTTCTCCACTGGTTCGGCATCGACTTCTCCATTCTCCTCGCCGACTTTCTCTTGGAGTTCGCCTTCGTGGAGAGCCTCGGGGAGGTGAAGGCCGCAAAGTTCCTGAGACTCATCAGGCTCCTCCGTATCATACGCCTAGGGAAGCTCACCCATGTCTCCATCTTCCTCCGGGATCAGCTTAAGTCACGGGTGGCTTGCATACAGCTGAACCTCGGCCTCGTGATTCTCTGCATCGTCCTCCTTCAGCACGTCGTCGCATGCTGCTGGCACGGCATCGCTGCCCTCACAAGCGACTCCTGGCTTGACCAGCACTCCATGCGGAACCAGCATGTGCCTTAGATTTTTATGGCGCCCATGTCAGCTTTTCTACCCAAACACTTTCAATCCTGAGCTTCCCCTAAAGCCTACGAAGCTTGAAGAGCTTCATGCTACAGACTGGCATGCTGCCGTGTAAATTTTAAGCCCTTGAGCCCTCCACAAAGCCTAAAGAAGGGGTCTAGGGTTCAGGCTTTAGGGTTTAGGGTTTAGGGAGACGTGATCCCCCAAACTCTCAACGGCCCCAAAACCTTTCGAAGCGAACTTCTGAATGATAAATCCTGGGCCCGGAAACTGCTCTCTCAAGTCTAATCTGGGTTCTTGTTGGATCCAACTTACACTTTTGCTTTAATCAAACCCTAGTAAGGATTAAAACAAATGATCATTTTTAGATACGGGCCCAGACCAGGGAACCGGTAACGAAGCGAGTACCAGGTCTCATTTCAGTACGCCACGGCCATGCGCTGGAGCCTTGCTCAGCTGGGGATCGGCGGCACGGAGATCGAGGCGGTCTCCTACGCAGAGGCCCGGGTTTTAGGGTTTGAGATTTTTGGTCCTGACTGGCTATGCCTTGGCCCAGGACATGAATTCAGCTGCGGCTGGAGTTGCAAGTTCGACTTTCTCGTCGGGTCCCCTTCCCGAACAAAAAGCTCGAAACCTCGAAGTCCTTCCTCTCGCAGCCGCACCTTCAACGGACACGATCCTCCGAGTTCTTTCTAAACTGTAGCCCCGAAGCCCTTGATCCTAACCTCCACGGAGGCCGAGACATCAAAACCCATCCCGAGCCCTACATCTCTAGGCGGTCTACTCCGTGGTCGTGGCCTTCGTCTCCCTGATCTCCTTTTCCACTGTGATCAGTTCCATGACCTCCCTCATCTCAAGCCTGAATAAGGCGAAGGTGGGGGCCTTGATTGAATCGCAAAGTCTCCCTCCCTCCTTCCCTCCCTCCTTCCCTCCATCCATTCATAAACATGTATTTGGCATGCAGACCCACGTACATATGTATGTTGATACCACAACATAGATACGCGCATACATACCAAAAGCTCGCATGTATGTTTATAAATCCCTACGCATATACCGTTCATGTTCACACAAGCATACTTACATCTGTACATACCTACGATAGTTATACGCTTATATACTGATGTGCATATGTATGTGAGTACATATGTACGTATGTATGCCTGTAAGTGTGTCTGTATGTATGTATGTATGTATGTATGTATGCATGAATGCATGCATGCATGTTCATATGTACGCAGGCATTTGTGTAAATAAATAGATAGATACACAAATAGACACACAAACACATACATGAACACACACACACACACATATATATATATATATACACACACACACATACACACACCTAGAGATAGATAGACAGAAAGATAGATAGATAGATAGATAGATGGGGGTAGATAGATAGGTACATAGATAGACAGATAGATGGATGGATGGATAGACGGATAGATACATAGATAGATCGATAGATAGATAGATAGATAGACCAATAGACAGACAGATAGATAGATAGGTAGATAGGTAGATAGATGTTTGTACACACACACACATAGGTAGGTAGGGAGGGTGGCAGATAGGTAGGTAGTTAGGTAGGTAGCTAGGGAGGCATGTAGGTAGGTGAGTCAATAGGTCAGTAGGTAGGTCAGTAGGAAGATAGATAGATGGACTGTAAATTTAGGGACCCTACACATGAAAACCCTCAAGCGCCAACGCCCTAAATGCTGAAGCTCTTCAAGCAAGGTTCATGCGCGGGTTCCGGATTTCAAGTGGAGGGATGACGGCGTTGACAGTTTTCCTCTCAGGCCTTTCCGTGCTCAGCTTACTTGGGGTAAGAGTTCTTCACCGTGAAGCCCCAAGGGTAACCTTCAACTCGGAACCATGAGTCGGAATTCTCTAACTTCCTAAACTCTTGACACCTTACACTCCTGCTGTCTAAATCCTAAACCAGTGCAGCCCAAACCCTAAACTGAAACCCGTAAAGCACCCTGAACCCTGAAGACTAAACCTTTAGCCGAGGTGGAGGAGACGGATCAGTTTTGGTTGCTCCGCAAGTACCTCCGTGACAAGGACATCGCAGGGAGCTTGGCCGAGCGCATCACAGATTTCTTGCGGTGGCTCGCATGCTTTTTGGGGTTCAAGTTTGGTTTTTGTGGTATGCGTGTGTCCACGCCCCGATTGAAATCTAGGCCCTAGGCAGAGGCGGGGGTGAGGTGAGCAGACTGACACGGTTTGATTTGAGCAGTTGTCGTAGGATGTGACTGCTCAGCTCATGGTGGTATTTGGCCTCATCAGCTAGATGTACCTGCAAGCCGAATGCCCGACGTTTGCGCTGCAAGGCAGTAGCTGAAACTACCTGCTGCAACCAGCTGCACTTGTCTCTAAGCGGTCGAAGTCGCAGGTGGTCCAAAATGTCTTCGTCTGCTTGGCCAGTGCAACTGAACTTCAGATACAATTGCTGCCTTGCCCAGTTCACTCTCGGCCCTCCACATCCCTGGCAGGGGACACCGCACATCTTGGCCCAGGGTTGCTACAGGGGTCTGGAACAGCAAGAATTGTCCCATTGCCGGCCCCATGTTCGTCGCTTGGGTGGTGTTGCCTCCCCCCAGCTGCGTTTGAAGAAGCTGCCGGGTGATACTGCCCCCTCCTCCATTCTTGCCTCGTTGCTTCCGAATGGATGTGGCCTGCAATCCTTAAGCTTCAAGAACTCCAGCCAACTTCTGCAGAATGTGAGTCTTTAAAGCGAAGTCTGAGATGACTAGCCACAAGCTTTTGTTGTGACTTAATTTAGTGCGGGCCTTTTTTGGGAGAAGCGAGGTATGCTTACCACACCCATGCTACGCAGACTGCCGATCGCCCTTACATCCTTCAGCTCTTGTCGAAGCCCTTGCAGGGCGAGTTGAGTTTTCGCATGTATCGTGACAGCATTATGAAGATCTCCTTCCTGGCAGAAGTGTCACAGACTGTGGCTGTGCACAACGACAGTGCATTTCACAAGTTGGCCAGCGAGGCTGTCAGCATTATCGACACAGGCCCTGGTGATGTCGTCTTCTCAACCTATGGAGAGGCAGAAGCGTCGTACTTGCCCCTGCAAGGCGCCTTGACGTACTTACACGCTCAAGGAAAGCGGGAAACGGAAGGACAGCAGTGGATTGCGGAGATGGCCCTGTGGACCAAATGGCTACATGTGGGCGACCTTCTCTCCGTGAATTTCTCGCGCCTCGTCTGCCTGGATACCCAGGAATTCTGCAACAGCATCTTTACCTCTCTGGAGCACCGGAACCGTGCACATCTCTATGCGAAGCTCTATCTGGAGCGGCTCAGGCCTCCGAGGTTTAGGGCGGTGTAGGGTTTGGGGGTGGGGGGAAGTAGCATTTGTGTGTTGTGTTCGTAGGAATGCGATCCTTCCCTATCCCCCGAACCCTCAAGCTCAAGCCTTAAGGCTTATATCAGCATGGCCGCGGTTCGTTTCCGCACGGTTTCCGTGAACCGGAACCGGAATCTGTGCGGTTCGGTTCCTGCGGTTCCGGTTCTTGCGGTTC